TCCGGCCGTTCCGACGCCCGGAGCCCGGGGGTGTGGGAAAGAAAAAGTTCCTGCACTTTGAGAAGGGCTTGAGGGGTAGAGGGGAAGAGAACCCTACTTGGGCGAGGTTGGCTCCGGAGGTGGTGCGGGGGGGTGCACCGGAGACCCCCCTCACCGCCCCCCGCCGAGCTGGCTGTGGCTTCTCCTACCTGGGCCGTCAGGTGTGGGCCGCGAAGCTGCAGTGTCTCCGGGAGACCAGCCGGGCCGACCCGGGCGCGCGCGCGCGCGCCACGGCCGTGCGGAGAGTAGTCCGGGGGACTCTCCCCGGCGTGGCGGACGGACCCCTCTTTCTCCCCTCCACCTTCCCCGCGATCGTCGTGCAGGACACTCCCGTGGAAGCCGCCTCGGGGACACGAACACCTGGAAGGGGCCTTTGCCTTCCCACCCCCTCCACCCCCATGTCCGGCGTCCCGTCTGCCTCCTCGCGCTGTCCCCCCCCAGCCAGTGCCCACTTAGTCCCCGCAGAGGGTCTGGTCCCCGATCTTGGCCTCTAGGATTTCCTCGGGAGGAAGCTTCGGACTCGTGGATATTCCTGCCGGCTGGCGGCGGATTTGGTCGGATTTGCCCTTTTGTCTCTCGGCCGTGACCTCGAGGCCAGCCCCGGTGCACAGCGTCGTCAAGGACGCCTGGCGGGGAGGCGGGATTGTTGGAGACGTCCGCCGGCCGCGAAAGTGCGTGGTGTGTTGGCGAAGACTCATCCTTGGCTGTCGGGAGATCGGGAAGACCTCAGGCGGACGGAAAGGGGTGTGTGTGTGGGGTTGGGAGGGGGGGTCCTCGCTGCTGCCAGGGAGCCTCCAGAGAAAGAAGAAGCGGCGTGAGCGAGCCGAGCCCCGCGCCTCTCTCTGCGCCGCCCGGTGCGCCCCCGCGCGCGCGCCATGCCCAGGGGCGCCTCTCGGAGCCCACTTTGAGCCAGGCCACCGGTATTACTCTTGAGCACCTCATCTTCTGCCCTGATCTCTCCCTGGGGCACCGGGGCGCTTGGGATCGCCAGAACCCTCTCTGTTCCACGCCAGCAGACGTGTAGGCAATCTCCCTCTCCATCCTCGAAGGCGTTTGGAACCCAACCCCAGCTGTTTTTACCGCCAAGTTGCTACTCGTGGGAGATCACCGACTGTCGCCTTCCTCCCCGCCATTCTCCGCAGCGCCTGGCAGCTTTGACCCGGAGGATTGATTTTCCGCCAGGACCTAAAAAGTTGACTGCGGAGCTAAAAGACGCTTGGAGAGACCAGGGACCGGGGGTAGGTGGGGTGGGGGGGTGGGGAAGGAGCATTGCCTCCGCCTTTTAACTATTACTCCTGATCGGTATTATTTTGTACACACATCCTTGGACACTCCGGACTGCTGGTCCTCCTCACGGGGCCTCAGAGAGACTCTTTGGTTCTCTGGAAACAGGGAGCTTATACAGAGACGCCTCCCTCCCCTCCGGCCCCCCTTCCCCCAGCCTGCGAGCCCGGAGGCGTGGGGAGGGAGGAGGAGGAAGATGCCCGGCGTCGGCTGGCAGATGCTGTCCCTGACGCTGGGGTTAGTGCTGGCGATCGTGAACCCGGCGGCCCCGCAGGCGTGTCCGGCGCAGTGCTCCTGCTCGGGCAGCACCGTGGACTGTCACGGATTGGCACTGCGCAGTGTGCCCAGGAATATCCCCCGCAACACCGAGCGACTGTGAGTACGGCCCCAGCCCTCCTCCACTCTCCTTGAGGCTAGCGTCCCAGGGTTCGAGCCCCCGAGGAGCCGGCTTTGCCGGATCCTGCATGCGCATTCTGGGTTGGGCTCTCCCCCCCCCCGGGGGTGGGGGAAAAGGAGGGGCTGGGGGGGGGAGACACTGCCCCTGGGCAGCAGCCCCTGGTTCCCTTGGCTCTCCTCCCGCCATTCGCGGCCTCGGTGGGGCGGGTGTGCACCCCGCTTCCCCCGGGGTGTCTGAGGATGCAGGCGCCAGAGAACCCAAAGGGAGAGGTGACTTTGTTTGGGGGGGGGGACTCAGTAGTAGAAAAGGAAAAATGACAAGCGTGCACTCTGGGCTTCCAGCCGCTCGGCGGGCGGCTTCAGTCCGCGTCCTTGTCACCTGTGGGAGGCGGGGAGGGGATGGCGGCCGGGGGAGGGGGAGGCTCCAAAGAGAGAAACTTCCGCTCCCAGGCTTTGTGTCGCACCCTCCCTGGGGACAAAAGGAAAGGGGGGGTGTCACGGATTTGGAGATGCTCCGGGATACTCTGGAGCTGCCCCGGGACGGGGTACCAGCTCGCCTGGGAGCAGTGGGTAGCCAGCCCTCCCCTTCCCCCCCACCCCACCCCATTTCTACAGGAGAGGTTGGGGCGAGGTTGGGGTCCACGTCCAAAGACCCTGGCTGCATCCTACGAACAAAAAGTCCTATGGAACTTTGTTCCCTAGGAACCCTCCCAGCAGGGGCCGACTGCTTTGGAGACCCTCGCTGGGTCCTTTCCGACCCTCCCCGTGGCCCCCCTTCCCGCCTCGCCCTCTCCCCCCCCCCGTCCACTTTTCAGGCAGTCGTGCGCCCCTTCACGTGGCCGCGCCCTGGTGCCCCCCCTGCCTCCGGATCTCCGCGCTCGGCTGCCCGCAGACGTCCCCGCCTCCCCGTCTCCGCGCGCGCGCGCGCCTCTAATGAAGAAGTAAACGCCGAGCCGGAGTGACGGCCCACGCGCGCCTAGCGGGGCGCTTCTCTGGCTCGGGGAAGTGGAGCGTGGAGGAGGCAGTTCCCTTTGTGAACGCCCAAGTCCAGCCGCCGCCTGGCGCCCGCCAGATCATCCCTCCCTTACCCCCCCATCCCCGGCGCGCCGGGCTCTGCGGGTGGCTGGGTCCCTTACCCGGGCCCGGCGGGTGCGCCCGCTCCAGGCTCCGCGGCTCTGGGTGGCAAAGAGGACATGCCCCATCCGCTGCACCCTTGAAGCCCTCCGAGCTTTCTGTTGCCCCTTTGCGGGATCCAGCCCATGTCCGCAGAGATTCACCTGCCTGCAGCTTCCCAGGGTCACTGCCCTCCCTTCTGCTTCCCCCCCCTCCACCAGTGATCAGGCCCTCAAGCCCTCAGGGCTAAAGAAGTGAGGAACCTTACCCGAGTAGTCTTGCTGAGCCTTATTCATCTGACTTGGAGAGCAGGGACTCCTGTTATTGCAGTAGAACCCCCCCCCATGTTTTGTTTTGTTTAAAACTTGATGGTATTTTGCCATAAGGATGGGGAAATAGGGTAGGAAGAATGAGGGAGGCAATGGAAAACTCACTTCAGACACTTGGCATTTTCCTGCTCTTCAGTATCCTTTAAAGTTTCAGCACTATTGTGTCTTAAAGGAAGGAGCTGGGGAAATGGCCATTGAGTTTGGGGGGCTTTGGATAAAAAAATAATAATAATTAAAAAATCTCTCATAAAGGAAACGAAGTAATGGTTTATAACCTTCTATCAGTGACCAAGTAAACATTTTAAATCTAGATCGTAAACCTATGTGTTTATAATGAATTAAGCACGAATGTATTTCCATGAAAGAACAAACTCAAGACTGGTTTGGTTTTACTTGCAACCATTGGAACCAGGAAAGTTTAGGTCTTAACTGAGATGCCAGAAAGAGAGAGGGCCGGGATTTCTATAGGCAAAGTGATGCTTAGTCAGAAGAATTATGTTTAGGCCTCTGTACTAGCCTCCATTATAACCTCCACTCTCAATTTTCACTTTCTCCATCCCAGCCTAGTGGCAAATGAAGAGTTTAGTTTTCACACAAACAAACAAAATTGCTGAAAGATAAATTCCTCTAAATGCAAGCCTTTGAAGTGCAGTGCTATTCTTGGCACATTTTTTTTTTTAACTTTGCTTTAGAAAGTTCAGCCACCAGGCTACCTATGGTTAGTGGTCTGAAATGTTAAAAGTTCTTTCTGAATAGTAGAAAAAAAATCGTTCAGTTTTAACTTCCTGAAGGAGAATCCTTACTGGTGTGTTTACCAACACACACTCTTATAAAAAGGATAAAATTGGCAATCCTTTGTACAACTAAAGATAATTTTAAAAATTAAATTGAAAACACATCCACACACAATACACAAATAAGTTTCCCTGGTAACTTCATCGCTTCATTTTTCTGTCAAATACCCACAGAATACATTTTGTAAACTAGATCATTTATACACTATTCAAATTATTCAAAGGCCCTTCTCTCTCCAATTTACTTTCTAAGTTACGTCATTAATAGAATTGATTTTGAGTTTTGAAAGTTCTTGGTTTAAATTTTACTTGATTTAACCAAATGTGATTTAAAAAATAATAGAAATAATGTAGAACTTTCATTTTCTGGTTGTCTCTTAGGGATCTGAATGGAAATAACATCACTCGGATTACGAAGACAGATTTTACTGGGCTCAGGCACCTCAGAGTTCTGTAAGTGTTTCTTGCTGTATCTAAAAAGTCTTTTGTTTGGTTTTTAAGACTATATTTAGAATTTCTAGTCTTCTCGGATTTTACAAGTGTTGCAATGAGAACAAAAATTTTAAAGTCCTTTGTCTTTTTTTTTAACCAAACTTTTAGTAAAAATCTAGGGCTTTTAAGATAGGATATATGCCACAGAGTGTTATAGACAGGTGCTCATATATTTGTTTTATGCTATGCTTTATTCGTATAAATATGTAGATTAATTGCCTTAACAATAGGAGCAAACTATGTGACCCATTGGATACTTTGTAGATTTAAATTTACCTAGACAAATTTAAGCAGATGTACATTTTACTATAAGAGAGGTTAAATGATTAGACTTGTTTTCTGCAAAGGGCACAGAGATATAATTTCTTCCATTAAAATCAAAATCAAGCAAAAAGGCTTTCAGCAAAATTGGGGGAAATATGTACATATAAATAAATTGGTCTTAATTAACTTTCCCAGATTTTATGCCTTTGTAGCCAACAAAAATTGTTAAAGCTTCAATTAATGAGTGGGTTAAATTAGCTGTAAATAAGCCATCACTTGGAAATCAGTGTTACATAAAATTGTTTTCCCCCATAGTATTATAAATATTTATATTTCAATCACCACATACCTTAAACTCTTTGTATTCAGGCTCCACTTTTTAAGACTTATTCTGGCACTTTTGAAATCTCCCAATTGCTGTAAGAATTTAGGAATGTATTAGATGAATTACTGCATGCTTGTGCCTTAGTTAAGAACTGAGTTGAAAACTAGAAATTGCCACAATTCAGTATGAGGAGATGCTGCTCATTCATTACTATAGTCTAAAGAGTCAGATTCACAACTGGAAAATCATGTGAACTTTGTTAATAATTTTTTCTTATAAATATATTGTGGAATAGGCTGTCTGTTTACCCTCCCTGAATTCTCTCACATGTTTCATCACTGTATGTACTATTGGATCGGGATTCAGAGCAACATTTTAAAAGACAAATAGGTTACATGTTTTTAGATGCTGTGTTCTAAACTTTCTGATGCAAACATTAAGAAGCATGTTATATTTTGCATTTCAGTCAGCTTATGGAGAACAAGATTAGCACCATTGAAAGGGGAGCATTCCAGGATCTTAAGGAACTGGAGAGACTGTAAGTATTTTCAATTCCAAACTCATGACAACATGACTGCATTTTGTAAAGCACTCGAATTTGAGGATTATGTCTTCAACTTTACATCTTCTGAAAGTGTAGAGAAAATAAAGCATGATGAATAAGTTTTGCTTTTTTTCAGACTAATTTACAAGTAGAGTTTCTGGATAAAGTGTACTGACTCATAATAAAGTACAAAAGTACACATTTACTTTTCCTGACACTTCTTTTTAAGTTAAAAATATCATTATGTGTTCATCTGATTAGTCTTATTGGCTTAAGAAGGAAGAAGAGTGGTATATTTTGCAATAATGGTATATTATAATATAAAAAGGACTCAGCTAATATTTTAATAATTTTTTGTTGTGACAGTTGAAGAAGTGTTTTAAATTGTTGCTGATTATGATTTACATTTTGATTATGTCATACTTGTTAACATTGTTCATAATGATTTTCTATAGTTTTATTTTCATTTTTCTGTAGAAGCTTCTAAACATTTTCTGCTGGAGAAATAAGTTAATGATTATTAAAGATTATTAACAGCATTATCAAAGTGTGGTCATTTAATGTGGACTCTTTTTCTTCCCAGAAATGTAAATGTAAACTTCAACTTAAAGTTATGCTTTTTTCATATGTAAAATCTTAGGAATTGATACACATTACATAAGGACAGGTTTAATGCTCATAGGAATTGATACACATTACCTAAGGACAGGTTTAATGCTCAGAGTACTTGTCTATAGAAGAGAATATCTATTTCAAATAGCAAAACTACAGACTTTTCCATGTGAAATAGGAATTATCTTGTTCCTAAGTCTTGATTAGCCAAGTTTGGAAGGTTCGCATTTTAAGGAAAAATTAAAGCTTTATTTAAAGTTGCAGCAATTATTTTAATAAGTTTTCATAATAGTCACTTTAGGTCAAAATAAAAGCTTACTTGAAATAATGAAATGTGTTCATGTTAGGCCTAATGCATTCAAATTCAGTAAACTCAGGGACAGAAGTTACTTCTGTGTAATGTAGGAATGGAGAGATATCTTGTTATTTTCTGACAAATATGTCAATATATGAGGTTATATACTTATCACTTCGAGTAAAATACAGAAATGTCAGTTTACTATACTATGAAACTTTACCCATTATGAATATTGTAAATATAGGGAATATAATGTGGAATTAAAAATAAATCTAAAATCACTAGTTTATTTGATTGGAGGGTGGTAAATGAAAACAGGAAATGTTTGGTTGAGTTCGTAACAAAGTTCATAACCTATTGTGAACATATGAAAGTACTTTGAAATAATTCTTCTTTGCACTGTTTCATGTGCTTTGCTGAATATTCAATACCCTGTAACTCACAAGATATTCTTAAACAATCTAGTTTTTTAGGCACTGATACATTTTAAATGAATAGGTAAGCTTAAATAATCTTTTCAGCATTAACAGTCTAGTAAAATTAACTTCTAGTTATTATCTATGCCTTGATTCTTAACCTTCAAGTCATAAAAGTCTTAATGTTTCTGTTTTTTAATTTGGTTATATTATAATTTTAAATCTTTTTGGGAGCACCAAAGGAAAACACTTTCTTACACAGATAAAAACATAATCAAATAAAACACACTTTCTTATTGTTTTTTGCAGTCACTTCAGAGTATTATTTGAACTTTCATCTTGAATAAATTAACTTTTCCTAAAAATTATTAACTAGATGCCATGTGATGTGAAATTCGATTAGAGTTGTAAATAGGTGCTGTTCTTTGACTTTTTTTTTTTTTTTACTTCCCTTGGGAATGTCACTTCATCTCAGAACAATTTTCTATTTTACTAAGGCAAAGTCAGATGCTGCATTGCAGAAGGCTTTCTAATTTTGAATGAAAACTAATATATATGCAGGACATCTTTACATCACCCCAGCTGCTGGCCAAGAGCAAATATTTCATATTTGTGAGGAAAAGCTGAGAAAATTCCTTTTGTTTACAACTGCCAAGTCCATCTGATGGAAGCACATTGTTATCTGACAGCCAATTCATCTCCTTGGGACTCTGGAATTCTAAACCATTTCTTAGGAACATTGTGGATACACTTTTCAAATATTTATTTTAAAAAATATGTTAAAATGGTGAAGCACTTTTACTGAGGAAGCCATTCACATTATTGTGAAACAGACCATTTTAAATTTTGTTTGCTGTCTTATTTTCAAAAAAGAAAATAAAACCACCTTGTAGTTCCTTGTTCAAATTATGATAGCCTGTGTTAGATACCAGGTAGCATGATCCAGTGTTCTAAACATCACCAAAATGATGTGTTTCCCCACATAACTGCAAGGGACTAGGAGAGATGTGGGGGAGAGGGATGAGAACTTTTAACAATAAATCATGTAAATTTACATGATTTTTATTTAGATACATAAAAGTATAAATTGAACTCTAAATCATGAAAAGATATAGCAAAGTAGATTAATGTTTACATATCATATTGGGAATAGTAAGTTTTCTGTTCTTGTGCAAAAAAGAAAATAGAAATATTAGATGTATTAGGGAAATGAAAATTTAGCATTTTCATTTTAAGATGATACAACTTAAACGTTGCCTTTTGTAAGTATTTCACTAGTATGTCTTTTTTCTTTTTTATCAGTTGAGTTTGAGCTTGATTTAGAGAAACAAGAAAACAGAAGCTCTACGATTTTTTTCTCTAAATCATATTTTCTTGTCTTTCAAAAACAAAATCATTTTAACTTTGTATTACTGACTTTTTCCTTGGATGCAAAATTTTATTTAATTACTTTTTGTATCTTCAAAAAAAACACAAAAAACAGAATCATTTTAAGTTGAATTTAACTTCACCATGGAATTGAGAAGCTATTATTTGAAAATCAAAGCATCAAAGCTACAAAAGAAAGATATTTTTCCACTCCAAAAAATGGGTGTGATTCAGAATATTCAGGCTGTTCAGTGGTAGATGAATGCTAACTCCTTAAATCCTTCCTTCCCTATTTGCCGTATCCTTCCTCCTACCCTCCTTTCCTCTTTTACTGTCTTCTTTTCTTTTCTTGGCTTTTTCTCCCCCCCCTTTCCTCCTTCATTCCTCTCTCCTACTTTCTGTTTATAGAAAACAGACTTAAATGATTTGATCATTATCAGAGTGTGCTTATACATCCATGTAAAAGAAATAAGTTTTAGTCATGCCTTAACAACTCAAACACATTACTTCCCTTTCTGAAAGTTTGCTCCTGTATTCCCAGACCTAAAATGTGCATTGCAGGTTTTCTATGATGATATATATTGTCCGCATTTATGATCTGTTTGTGTGGGGAAAATATAGGAAGTCTTGAGAATGTGTCTCTTGCACAATGCATTAGCAGGCCTCCTATTGCTTTATCACAGGGTTCAAAGGAAATGTAAGGTAGTTAAATGACAAGCTAATTCAATGAAAATTAAGGCAGAAGAAACTATAAGCTAGGGCAAAGAATCAGACATTGGGAACCTTTTCTTATACTTCCAGAAATACTTGCATATATTCAGAATTTATTCTTCATGCAAAGCTATTAATTTAAGATATTTCTCAGCTGTTTAACAAAAATAACACTTAGGCCTTGGAATTCTGTGGGCTGGAATAAAATTCTATTGCTCACTTAAAGTTTGCAGACAGTTGTGATTATGGATCAGTCAAGAGTTTCATTGCTTTTTAAGATGCTTTGATCTATACTCCAATACTTTAAATTAAGGGAAATACGTATATGTCTAGCTTATGTTAGAAGGAATAGCATGCCATGAAAAATATTGGAATTAGACTTCATGTGGACTAACAATTCCTTATACTTTTCATTAAATAAATTGCAGAAGTGATAGAGGCAAGTATACTTACACCTTTCCACCAATAATATGTAAATAAATATGCTTTCAGACAAATATTGCTTGACATTTTCTTAGTATCAATCTCTTTGTATGTAAATATCCTTTTTGGGGGTTCTATCTGCTTTGTCTTTGGATAGTTATTTTGTTTGAAAATGTAAGTCCTGATAATATTGTTATAACACATCAGAGGCAAGGATTCTGGAAAATAAGTCTATTGTTCATTTAAATGCTTTAAAATTTCCACCAAACTGACAAAAACAAAATAATCTCAGAGTTTTACTTTAGAAAAGTCTAAATTCCTTTACAGTAGGGCCTCTATTAGGAAAGAAACACTGCATTCTCATGAAAAAATATCTTAAAGGCCCACTTCTTTTTTCCCCCCTGAAACGTGGCTGGATTTATCCTGTCTACTTGAACAGCCCATTATTAAGCAAGTGACAGTGTGAGGTTGGTTTTTGTGGTTGTTTCACACATGAGTTAAGGGGAAAATATACTGTGCAAAGGGCCTGAAGGAAAGCGCTATATCCTGAGTTCTCTGAGGATATAGAGAAACCCTCTTCTGACTCATCCTGTATAGGCAACACCTATCACATATATTTAACTTATCATAAAGGCAAAAGAGCTGGGCAGATCTCCTTGGAAAAAGAATGCAAGCTCATCTCAAAAGATTATCCTTTGGCATCTCTGTGTATAAATTTAAAACACTGTAGTCACTTTCTTGGAACTTTTTAAAAAAGAAATACATGACATGGTAACAGAGCCTGCCTATACACATTGTATAAAAATGATTTAAATGATATGATATTCATGAAAGGCCAATTATTTGCATGCATTTCTAAGCAGTATGGCCTACTTTCCGTTATCTGTCTTGACTAGAGTCATAGAAAGTTGTAAAACAAGTGACAAGCTTAGAGTACCCCATCCTTTGGAGAGTTCCTTCTGCTTTTTTTTGTGTGGGCCCCTGAAGTCAAATGGTGATGAGAAGACCCCGTTTCCTCTTTGTGGACCATTTTCTAAATTGTGAGGCAGTGAAGCTGTTTATTTTTCCCACATCTGTTTTGGGTTCCTCCTTTGTGGCAGTGTTTGCCGGATGTTGTATCCCTTCTACCTCGCCTGAAATGAGGAGTTGAGTTTGCACTGTTGCAG